CTATAAACCTACCTGAATGTGTGCTTTTTTCATGCATAGAAAATGCATTTCTTTTAGGAGTAATCAATTGTCTTTGTTTATCAGTAAGTATGAAAATGTTGAGCTTTAGTAGATTCTGCCAAACAGATTTTCAAAGTGTTTGTGCTACTTTACAGTCCCCAGACTGCACCACAATTTCTACTGCTCCAAATCTTGCCCACACTTAATATGTACTTTTTTTAAATTGCATCTATTTAACATTGATTTATAACACCAAATGTGATTGAAGGGTATAAGTTCAGACCACACTCCACCCCAAAGCACCAAAACCCTCCACCAAAAGAGTAATAGCCAAGGTCTACAAAGAACTTACACAACTGAACATGAAGAAAACAAGTAGCCCAATCTAACGTTGGGCAGCAGAGCTAAATAGACCCGTTGCCAGAGAAGAGATACAGGTGGCCTTTTCTTCCTAAACCACTCGGGTGAAGTCTCATTTTGAATTTTCCAAGAGTCCAGATTTAAAATATTCAGCCCTGCTATTCTCATAAAAATCCAAATACCCCGAATTCCAGCCTCCTGGCAGGCACAGACTGTCTGCGCACCGTTTCCTGAGGCCAGATGCAGACAAGAGGCCTCTCTCGCACAGGCACCAGCCCTGGGTGGGGCGCGACCCCCCCACCCCCCAGTGCTGATTTCTGTCCCCGAGCAGCTTCAAGCATGCAACAGCCCCAGAGGGGGCTTCTGGGTCCCAGCAAGGTCTTGTGCCAGCGGAAGCAGGCTGGAGGCTGGGCACCCAGGGCGCGGCGATGTTAGGCCTTGGGGCCACAAGACCCCAGAGACAGACATGCCAGTGAGAGGCGGGAGTGGGAGGTGTGGGGGTGATGTCTCAGGTGTCGCTGCTGCCCTGGGTGGTCCCCGGTGCCTCCTGCCGGGGTCTCCACCTTTGAGGGAGTGGGGTAGCAGGTACACAGGGCGAGGGAGAGGGGATTGGGAGGGACACATGTGAGGGATGTGCCCAGGCGTGTGAACTTGGACACCAGTATGAAACTTGGTCGGAAGTCGCATAACTGACTTTGTGTCACCCCGGGGGGGGGGCACCTGGAGCTATGGGCAGCACCCCCTTAAGGCTTAAGCCTCATGGCCAGTAAAATGACGAGTGTACTGGCACCGGGCCCTAATACCAGCTTCCCAGGCCCGAAGAATTCCGCCTGTGATGACTCACAGAGGGGCCGTGGCTCTCTGGGCGGTGCGGAAATGGTTCTGCCTGCCACTGCTTTGCTAACCAGCCGTCATGGTGGAAGAGGTGCCGAAGTGACCGCCTCTGCAGGGCCAGGCCCTGAGTCACTGCTAACAAGGTGGGCCGTGTGTGGCATGGCCACAGCCAGGCACCCCAAGGCTATCTGGAGGTGTGAGCGCACCACGCACGGATCCCCCTGTGACCTCAAAACACCCGCTTCCCTTCAAAATTGGTCCGAGCTCAACTCAACGTCCCTGGAACCCACCCGGCCACCTCTCCCTGGTACCAGGCCACATTTCTTCCGATTGCCTGAACAGAACCTCAAGTCTGAGACGGAAATCAAGAGGCAGCCCCTGGAATGCAGGGGCCGCTTGAGTGTGCTCGAGGCTTCCAGAGAAACAGGCTTCCCGTGTGCCGAGAAACAAGCACCATCAGCGGCAGGTAAGTGGCCGAGCAGCCGCCTGCACTCCCACGCTGTCTCCGACAGCCGTGCCCAGTTCAGGAGCTGTGGGAAACCTCTCGGGGGCCCCCAGAGGACGCGTCGGGGACCACACAGGTGACCGACTGTGACTCGGTGCCGCCCCTCACGCAGGGCCCCCCGCCAAGACCAGCCCGGCGGCCCACCCAGCGTGAGTTAACGTCTCCGCAGAACCACTCTCTCCACGTCTCCGCAGAACCACTCTCTCCACTCCGTCTGCGGCAGAAGCAGCCAGCGACTGTCTGAACGAGGTCACGGCGCGGTGGCAGAGGGACTGGCGGGGACAGGGCAGACCCTCCAGCCGCGGAGGAGACCTTCCCTCGAATTTTGAAATGCGCATCTTGTGCCCTGGAGGATGACTGTCGCCGGGTTTCTCATCTACGTGAGCGTCCTCTCCTGCGTGAGCAAAATCCCACTTGCAAAATAAACTAAGTTTTGCTGTAAGGTCTGTGTATTCTCTGGAAGTGCTCTGCTTAAAACACGGGACAAAGACTGCTACAGCCTGAATGTTCATGTGCCCTCAAAATTCTCGTTGAAACCTGGACCCAAAGTGATGGTCTGAGGAGAGGGGCCTTTTGGGGTGACTGGCCAGTAAGTTCTGGGCTGGCTTTGTGGGCCCCCCAAGGGGACCAGCAGGGAGCTGTCCTGGCCTGCCTGCAGCTGCACCCCGAGTGGTGTTTCAATCGGTTTCTAATTCTGACACCTTCCTGTTTCTTGCACATAAAATCCCATTAGCTTGACACGCCCACAAAACTCTCCTGTGTGAGGCAAGGGGGGTTATTTTTAAACCGCGTTTTCAAACCACGCGTGTGGGAAGGTGCGTGTTGGATCACCTGTGGTGGGGATCACGCTTCTCGGGGGCTGGTTCTGGAAGGGGGGAGCCACCAAGGGAGCCAGACCTCATTATTTCCTGTGTGCACCGAAGCCCCTCGTCTGCACAGCACGTGACCCACTACGCTCGTGACCAGCACCCCAGAACCCATGGGGTGGTGGAGTCCAGGGGCCGGGAAAGCTGGCCCGGAACTGGGTATTAGAACAGCAGCTTCAGACCCTAGGGCCAGGTAGGATGTTAGGGTGATGCTAACGCACTGAAGAAACAGAACCCCTGAGGCGCAAATATCACCACGTGATGTTCACCTGCCGCGTACTCCCATCCTGAAGGAAGGCAGGAGGCACCCGCTTTCAGCCTGAACAGCAGACAGGCCCTGTTAGTCCTCAGCTACTTGAGCTGGGGGTGCATTTGGGGTTTGGGGTTCAGGGTGGGAATCCCCCTGCCCACTGGCCGGGCAGAGCAGACAGTGCGGGGGCAGTCAGCGGGCCCCTGGGTTCGGACCTGGGCCTTGACGTCTGGACATCTGGGGTCTTTGGAGGCAGGGCCTCAGGGTTCGGAGCCCCAGCTGCCTGGTCGGAACAAGGGGTGTCCGAGTGCCGTCACAGCGCCCAGGGTGAGGGTGGCTCGGGGCATACGGATGAGCCGCCGAGGTGCGGCCGTTCGTGTCCACGGCTCCGTCGTCAGTACACGCCACTGGGGCAGCTGAGGGCAGCCGGTCATGCCGCCCTTGTGTCCTGGCCGTGTTCGCCGCCCCTCGTCTGCCACCGTGGAGGCGCTCCCGGGAGCAGCAGGCCCTGGCTGACCACTCCAACAGATGCAGGGCGAGCACTGTTTCGCTCTCTGCACGTGCACAGATGCACACACGTGTCCCGTAACAGCTCCTACAGTTGGCCGTGAACAGCCGCCTTGCCTCGGGCTGCCCGGTTAGGGCCTGACATCATCTGTAGGGAGGACTGGAGCCCACGTAGGGGCAGAGGCCCCCCGAGGTGGCCAAAGGACGTCTGGAAACCACAGGCCACCTGTGCACAGCCCAATGTCTCTCGAGAGCTATTACTGCAAGAAAGAACTGATATTCACAGACCAGTCTGGATGTCACTGCTTAGTTCTAGAAATGTGCTCCCTGAATTCTGAACTGTAAAGTGGTGACCATTGAGGGGATGGGGTCACACTGGAGGGAGGAGAGGCCAGCAGACGCTCGGATGCCGTGACCTCGGGGCCGGGCCCGTCCACTCTCATCCAGCCCCACAGCACGAAGCCTGGGGCGCGAGCCTCGGCTCTGCCACTGAGAAGCTCCAGGCTTGAGAGTCCCCGCATGGCCAGGTGAAGGCCATCTCCCTCCCGAGGACTCGAGAAGCTGTCTCACGGGCAAAGGGGTGAGAAGCCACAGTTATGGAGCGTTGCAGAAAGAAGCTAAACTAGGCCCCTTTTCAGACCCACAGTGACGTGCAGGAGCCAGAGCAGGCTGGGGAGTGAGGTCAGGGCAGCGGTGTGGAGCGGACAGGAGGGGAAGGCCCCTCCCGTCACAATGCCACAGCTGACCCACAGCCCCAGTGTACGCGAGGTCGTGTCGCGGGGGATGAGGTTCCAGGCAGGATGGAGGCTGCTGGGGACGGGGACGCGTATGCTGGGCTACCCAGGTGGGTCCCTGGAAGTGTCCTGTCCAGGTGCTTACGAGCAATCAAGGAAAAGAAGAACAAAGAACCAGGGAGGACCAGCTGGCCACCGCTGCCCTGAAGGAGAGACCTCGAGCACGTAAGCCGAGGCCTCCAGAAGCTGGAACGGGCCAGCGACGGGCCCCTGCTCTTGAGCTACAGAAGGGACGCAGCCTGCCAGGGAGACTCCCCCAAACTCCCAGAGGACGACTGTGCTCGCAAGTGGCTTGCTTTGCAAGTTGCTAGAGCAGCACCCGGAGCCGAGCCGCGGCTGGACCCACTGCCACGGGCCGGCCGGGGCGGGGCAGCACCGGGAGCCGAGACGCGGCTGGACCCACTGCCACGGGCCGGCCATGGCGGGGGCAGGGGGGGCGCAGCGGGGCACCGGCTGGAATTAAGAACTTCAGTGGGGCAGAGTGTGTGAGGTGGCACTCACCTCCTGAGCAGGACCTGGACAGCAGCGAGGTCCAGGCTGGGGCCGGAGCCCCAGGGAGAGAGGCCACGCATGACGGGAGCCACAGAACAGAGGTGTGTGTGGTGGTGAGAGACTGGCAGCGAGGGCAGGAGAGGAGAAAAGGCCTCGGAATTCAGCACCCTCCTCCTGCCCTTTCTGGAGTGATCACGTGGAGCAGGACGACTGGGGCCAGGGGCCAGCAGCGTCCTCTGCACCAACAGGTCCTCAGCACAGGGCGGATCTCAGCCTCAGCGCGCTCGGTCACCTGGGGCTGGTGCCCGCCGAACACCGCACCGGTTCCTGACCCAAGCCTGTCCCGTGACTGTCGCCAGCACAGCGAGCAAAGCCACCCCCCCCCGCCCTACCTGGATGTTGAGTCGCCCCCGATGTGCCCCCAGGCCGTAGCGCTTCACCGTGGACGCGTGCAGCTGGAAGTCTGTGACTTTTAAGGTTTCCAGGCCGAGAGGAGGACAATCTGGAAAAGACAGCACTCGTTACAACAGGGGAAGTGCTGAGAGAAAAGAGTCTCTGGCTTCGCTAAACCCGGCGCATGCTCTTCGTGTCCCCCAGTCCCTCGCCATCGCCACCCCCTCCCCGGCCCGCGTGCCGCACCCCCCGCGTACCCCAGGCAAATACCGTGCCAACCCGGTGCCGGCCCCCTTCCCGTGGCCTCTCCTCTCTGCCTGCCCGCTCGGTGCCCCCTAGCCGTCCATGCTACTGTCCGGGGCTGTTTCCAATCAAAGATCTTCCCCGACACCCCTCAGGCAGGGGCATTCCAGAGTGCTCGCACCGCTGAGCTCTGCACGCTAATCGGAGCTTGCTGACTTTGCTCCAGCAACTCCGGCCCTGAGGAGGGACAGCGGCGGGAAAGCTGTCGCCCTCCGCTCTGCAGACTGAGTATGTGGGGAACGACTCCTAGGCACCTGGGTCCAAGCTGCCCCGGGAATGAGATGCCGGCCCATGATGGAAGCTTCCCAGTAACGGGGGGAAACCGCTAGGTGAGGTAGGCCGCAGCCTTCAAGCCTGACCCTGGGGACAGAAAACAAAGTCTCCGCAGAACCAGGGGACAGAATCTAGTGCTATCACTCCTGGTGTCGCAGGGGCAAATGTGGGCTGACACAATGTTCCCGCGGGGTGGGGGGCCCCAGGGACCCGGGCACCTGGAACAGGCCTCGGGTCTCGGGGGGCTGCAAGGCCTGGCCAGGTGGCCGCCGGGAGGCAGCCAAGGAAGGAGCCCAAGCTGCTGGGAGCAAGCCGCCACCGCTCCTCCCCTGCGGACTCAGAGGAGGCCCTGGGCCTCACGGGAGCGGCCACGCGTCCCTGCCAGCGGCAGCCCGGAGCTGAGGCCTCAGCCTCCAGATTCGGCTCCGGGCCCTTGGGTCACACCCGCTGCCCAGCGATAGTCCCGGTTCCCACCGTCTGGCTGGGCACCTGGAGGCAGAGGTCGGCGTCTGCGGGCGCGGGGTGGGCCTGAGGAGGGAGGTCACGGGGTCACCGCCCATGGGACACGGCGGGATGGCTTCCGGGAGACGGGGCCAGGCTGGAGGGGTGTGACGTGAGCAGGCGAGTCTCAGAGGGGCTCCTGTAGCCAGCAGGACATTTCAGCAGAGGGGGCCTGCTGGCCGGCACCCTGGTTTTGGCCTGTGCTTCCAGGCCTGGGGGACGCGTGGGTCTGACAGTGTCTGCTCCCAGATGTTATTGAGCTGCCCCGGTCAAGCCTGCGGGCTGCTGACTTCAAGCGTCAAGGGAGAACAAGGCGACTGCTCAGAAGCCCAGCTGCTTCATGGAACCTGCTAGAACAGACACCAGCAGCTCTGCCTGCCCTATCGGGTCCTCCAGCTGCTGCAGCTGAGCCGCTGGTGCTGGGCCCCTCCTGGAGAATGCGGAGCCCCCCCCCGGGGCAGCCCCACCCTGGCCTCAGGAGGGCGCGCTTTCTCTCATGCTCCTCCATGGACAGCCCCTGAGCTCCCAGACTCGGGATAGCAGGCATGAGCTAGTCTGATTCGGGCCAAGGCCTGAGGGTCACTCACAGCCACGACTAGTCCTCTGTGGCAGACTGGGCTCCAGGAAACTCTCAACCTGCTGCTCGGAGCCCCAGCTCTGACCCCAGCTTGCAGGCTTCCTTGGTGGACTGGCCTGCCCAGGCCCCAGGCCTCACCCAGGCCCGGGCACCTCTCTCATCACCAAGTCCCAGCCCCTTGCTGCAGGCACAGGGGCCTCTCAGGAGCAATGGGCACCTCTGAGCCCTGGTGCCCAGCTGGGCACCGCCCACTCCTCAGCCCGATCAGGCCTGCCAGCCTTGAGTCCACACCCCAATACCAGCCAGGCACAGGCTCCGTTCAGACCCCAACACCCCTCCCAATCGAGCCACAGAAACACAAGCAGGACCACTGCCAAGAAGCTGCTTCCCAGCTCTGGTGAAGCTGTTCAGCCCGGGTGCCCCGTCCGCACAGAAAGCACCGCACTGCCCAGCTGCCACCTGTCTGCGTTCAGACTGTCAGACAGACAGACAGACAAGACCCCTGTGCCTCCTGCTGGGTGTGGATGGGCGTGTGCCGCTATTGTTACTAGCTAGATAGAGCAACAGTTGCTCCCCAAAACATTCCTTCCAGAAAAGAAAGCATCTCCTGTGTATATGAATATTTTCATCCAAAAAGGAAGCACCACAATCCAGCTGCACATTTGTCGAAATTGTCCATCCACGGACACACCGAAGCTTCGCCACCTCCTCCAGATGCACCGGGAGGAAGAAAGCACCTGAGCAGGGTGTTTCTCGGGGGCGCACCTGCCACCCGCTCGCAGCTCGGCGCTCAGCCCTGCCCCCAGGAGCCAGCCACTGGCCGGCCAGCAGCGCCCACCCCGAGAGCCAGCAGCTCTGTCGGCTCACGTTGGGAATCGCGCTCGTCCACCTTGAGGCGGCGGACACACAGGGCCCTCGGGCCCGGCACAGCGGACGAGCCTCCGGTGGGAGCCGCAGACGCCGGGCGCGGAGGTCGCGAGGGCCGAGATGCTTTTCCTTACTAGCAGGTGCGGTTTTGGAAGTGCGTGGTTTTGTGTGGAAGCGCTCTCCATTGCCCGTGTCACAGACGCAGACGCGGCGGGCGCTGCTCTGAGAACACACAGCGTCCCGGACAGGCCACGGGCCCCTGACGCCGGGGCCAGTGGGCTGCTCGGGTTTGAGAGTCGGTGGGCGTGGGGACCACTGGAGCGATGCAGGAGGCTTTCGGGCCGAGGCAGGGCAGGGGCAGGGGCCGGCGCAGGTCCAGCGGGGAGCAGGAGCTCTCATCCGGGCAGCAGGCACCACCAGTCCGGGTGCTGCCCGAGACGCCCCTGTGTTTCCCAGCCACCCGCCAGCTGCGCCACGTCCGAGGCGTCCGCCCCACCTCCCCTCCCAGGAGGGCCCGACTCAGCCCGTCCTGCGTCTGCCCGGGGGAACTGGGCCCCACGGATGGACGCCGGGTCTCCAGGTCCACCGCCTATGTGTGCTGGATGAGCGTGGGAGCTGCCGCCAGTGCCGAGGGCACCCAAGGGCCCACTCAGCCTCGCACAGCTGGGCGGTGAGTGCTCTTCAGCCCCTCCGCTGACCACCAGCCCCGCTCGCTCTCGGCCTACCTCTTCCCTGAACGCTCATGGTCTGAGCCGGTGAGTACTCAGAACAAGCACCCCTCGCCCACCAGAACGGTGGACTCCTGCTGGAGCCCGGTCAGAACAATGTGCAGACACACCCAGATGCAGCCCAGGGTAGAGCCAGAGCGGAGTGCAGCGGGAGCCCCAAGCACCCAGCCCACTCTGCCAGCCAGAGAACCCCGCAAAACGCTGAGTCGGAGCAAGCCCGAGGCCTGACGCAAGGAGCAAGGAGCCACCAGCCCCGCACAGCCCCGCCCCGCGCCGACGCCCGATCTCGTCCTGCAGGGAGCAGGCCAGAGGCAGGGTGCTGCAGGGGCCAGGAAGGCGCTCAGAAAAGGCGTCTTAGAGCTCATGGAAAGCTCAATTTGAACATCTGCATTCAGGGCTGGACTCCGGAGGCCCCGGAACACCCTGTGCGGCGCGGGCCCCGCTCCTCGGGTCTGTGTTCGGTGGCCCAGGAGGCGGGCGAACGGGGGACCCTCGCCTCATTCCACACCGCCCCCCCGGCACATGCTCCGTGCACGCACCGGTATTTCATGGAGCCTGTCCCGCTGCACAGAGCCACGCCGCTCCTCGCCACCACCACCCAGCACCGCGACAGCTCCCCACTCACCCCTTCCTCAACAGAGGAGGGGCGCTCACTGCGTTTCCCATCACGGGGTCTCTGTGCCAGGCGTCACAAGGCAGGTTGGGTCAGAACCCAGAATCTGGAGCATGCACCCCAAGACCCCACCCCAGACCCCAAGTCTGGCGGGTGCGAGACAAGTCACGCAACGTATTTCAAAGGGTCGTGAGTGGGGAGCAGCCGGTCGCTGTGTGCGCAGCCGGGCGTCAAGGCCCTCTGAAGACACCTGCTCGCTTCATCTTCATAGTGACGGACAGAAGCGCGTCGCCGTGCCCAGCGGCACAGAAACAAGACCCAGGAGGCCGAGGGAGCGCAACAGCTGCGAGGGTGAGTTCGCACCTGGAAATCAGCCGCACGTAAGCCAGCCCCAGCCCCCCATCTGCCGGCTTCAGTCTCGGGCGTGACAGCCGAGCCCTGCGGCTGCTGCCGGCACAGCAGACCAGAGCAGCAGAGCTGCGCGGGCGTCAGCCGCGGCAGAGGGGGGCGGAGGCCACGGCCGCCGCCCGCTGCGACTGTCTGCTGGACGCGGCGCAGAATTCCTCACGCCCTCAAGCGCACTGCCAGGGACAGACACGGCTGGCCAGAGCCCCGCTTCCACTGCTGTCCAGAGGCCCAGTCGCTCTGACTCAGGACATTCTTTCCTTCGCCCTTCTCAACTTGACATCGCCTTTGATCCTGCGGTCTGAGTGAGGAGACGGCTCCCTGCCGCCCAGACAGCTTTTGCGGCGGCTCCTCGGGCTCAGGCGCGGCTGGCCCCCTTCAGGGTCTTGGGAAAGGAGCTACTGTGGCCCCATCCACTCGCCCCTGGACAGCCCCCTGACGGCTCCACATCGCCGGGGCCCTTCGGACCGGCGCCCTGGCCTCTGCCCAGGAGGTCTCACGAGATGCTTCCTGGGGGCTTCACAAGGGATTCGGGCCCCTTCCAGGGAGCGGACTGCAGAGAGGCCTGGGCGATCCTCCAGCCCGGGGCCTGACGGCGGCCCTCAGCTGTCAGGCGCGCGAGCTCAGGGGTCTGGTCGCGTCCCCACGCGCCAGCAGTCAGGCAGAGGAGCCTCTCAGGAAGGGGGTCAGCCCCCCTGACGCGCCGCTCACATCCTCCTGCAGCCTGGGGGCTCTGCGTGCTGAGTGGGCCGGGGGGCGGGGACTGGCTCACTTGAAAAGCCTCCCAAGGCTGCTCCTGCCCGCACCCCTCCTTCCACCACCTCACCTGAAACAACTGCAAACCACACCCCTAACGCTGGATTCATCAGCAAGTCCCCAAAGTCAGTCCGTGGTGAACGAAACTGCGTCATGAGTCCTCCGAGCGCGTCACAGAGGGAGCTGACGCTTTGGGTCCTACACATCGCTTCTAGAAAGCCAACAGGTAGATATTTGTTTAAAGTGCCGTTTATACAAGAACTGGGGTGTGGGCAGAGGTGTGGGGGTGAGAGGACTCCCCAGAGACAGCGTGGGGAGCAGGTCAGGTGGATTGACTGAAGTCCACTGCCGCGGGGGGCAGCGGGGAGACAGGGGCGGTCTTCCGCGCCCTGGGGGCCCCTCCCTGGCCGGGGATCGCACTCAGGCCACCATCTGATAGTGCTGCTGAGAGCTTGATGGCGCTGAGTCTTTGAACCCTGCACTGCCACGGAGACCCCAAAATGTCGCTTCTCAAACCTTAATCACTTGCATATTATCTTCATGTATTTCTCTCTAACCAGGGGCAACCTACTCTACTACTTACTGCATATCCTTATTTAAAGTAATTTTAGAAATATGTTAATGTAAAAGAAAGCCTTATGGCTGGAAGGTAACATAGAAAATACGTTCATGATCTCAGGGTGTGCAAAAATAAACTTTAAACATAAAACAAAAGCAATGAAGAGAGTACCGATAATTGGTCTCTTTCGATGTGCGAACATCCGTTATTCAAAAGACACCATGAGTAGACAGAGAAGGTGAGCCCGGGAGTGTGAGGAGATATTTGTCCATATCTGACAGAGGACTCGTATCCATAACATCTCTCAGAAATCACGCAGCCAAAAGGGACAAGATTAACATGAGCAGACCCTGAACAGACGCTCCCGGGAAGACCCTGGCGGTGATTAGCCCGCGGGAAAATGCAGACTCAGCCCACCATGAGCTCTACCTGTGCAGAGCCCCGGGAGGAACACGTTTAAGGCTCGTGAGGAAGCCAAGCTGCCTTGCCGGGGCCAATGTCAGCGGTGCGCCGAAAGACTCCTAGGTTATCTGCTGAAGGCGCGTCCCGCCAGCCAGTGCGCCGGGCGGCTATTCCCGAGCCCACCCGCCTCGCGGCGACGCCAAAGCCCGTGTGCCGGGCGCCCGGAGAGCCCAGGCGTCCGCTGCGCCATGAGGGAGAGCAATGCCCGTGTGCTCGGCATCGCAGGAGGCCTTGAGGCTGAGCCCCCGGGGCACCCCGCTCCGCCTCGGGAAGCAGGCAGTGCCCCGTGCCACCGGCCCCGGGCTCGGCCTATGGGCTCACCAGGCCGCTGGAGCGGGCCGCCCTCCCTCGGGGAGACCTGCGAGGCGCGCTGACCGCGTGAAGCTGCTGTGCTGCTCGGCAGAAATCTCGAACCCGAAGCTCCTGGGTCCAAATCCCTAGGTTGGCACATACAAGCTGGTACCCCAGGCAGAGGGCGCATGACTGGGGCCCATTTTCCTCACCTGTGATCATCAGACTTCGATCCCCCCTCCTCCGCGCCTCCCCTCCCCCTCCGGAGGACCCCAGGCCCGGCTGGAGGCCGGAGAGGCACAGCCCAGCGTGCGGGCAGCTGTGGGGTCCCCGAGGAAGGTAACGGCAGTCTCCGTGGAGGAAGGGAGCTAGGTCAGGGGAGACAGCCACGTGCTCAGGGAAGTCAGACCGACCGTGGGCCCCAGGAGAGCGTCCGCGTGCCGGAGCGTCGCCTGAGTGAGAGGCGGTGAATCTCTCAGCCCCACATGGGTGGCGAAGAAGAGGCAGAAGGTCCCAGCGGCCCCTCCCCAAAATCTGCAACCAGCTGCCGTGCCAGGGACCAGCGCCCCCAGACCAGCAGCAGAACTGGTGTGCGAGGAGCTCACTTACCTTCTCTGATGTCGTCTCGGGCCACAGAGACACTGTACTCGTCACTGGCCTCCTTCTCGGAGCTCTGGGTCCTCATACCTTTCCTGTTGCTATTTTTACCTAAGGAAAAGAAAAAAAAAAATACCTCAGCGCATCCCGAGATGGTGAGAACCAACCATTGTTTCGCACGCAGAAGCCATCTGCACCCCGATTCCTGCCTCCGCCTCCCCGTCCCGATCGCAGCACCCCGGGCTCCCAGGTGCTCATGCCAAGCACACCCAGGAAACCCAGACACGGGCAGCAAGGGCCACGCCAAGCCTGAGAACACTGTGGGGTACATCCGGCCCCCACGCACCTCCCTGGTGACACAGAACCGGAACCCGGACTCGGCCCCCAGAGCGGCAGTCCCTGCAGGCTGGCTTCTCCCGCCGGCTCTCTGCACGGGACCTCGGGGCTGCCGATGCGCCCTGCGTCAGCCCGGGGCCACTGCTCACGGCCGGACCCCCCAGCTGCCTCCTTCCAGGCTCCAGGTCACGGCCCCCCCCCAGAACCTCGCACTTTCTAGTCGCCCTGTGGAGTGCCGCCCTTCAGCTCACTCTCCTCTGGCTAAGTCCCGCTGAGCTTGCCGGCCTCGGCCCTGGCACCCTCTCCCCCTCTCCTGCCGCCTCCCTGAGTCCCCACGTCAGCGCCCCTCTGAGGGGCTCTGGTGGCAGCTGTCTCAGTCAGCTGGCTTCTCTGCAGAGCCTGAGCAGGGCTGTGGTGCGCGTGATGCACGGTCGTCCTCTGCCCGGTGACGCTTCGGGCCAAGACGAAGCGCACACGGGTGGCCCCAGCTGGCGAGGGGCACCGTCTCGGTTAGCCGAGCTGCTGGGGTCACGCGATTACCCTCGGTGACTTCCACCGAGGGTCATGACGAAAGCCCTGGTGACGCGCTTCTCAGGCCTGCACCCCATGACTAGAGGGAGAGCGCCAAGGAGAAGGGGGGGAGGAGGGGCGGAGGCCGCATCTGGGCTTGCTCGCTGGCTTACCCCAGCGCCTGGTACGCAGCAGGCTGAAGGAGTGAATGGAGTCGTGACGGCCAAGCAGACGGGGGGGGGGGGGGGCAGGCCTGGGGGTGCTGGGTCTGGGCTTTAGAAAGAAAGTTCAAACACCAGGAGAATTTAGTGGGATGTGCCAGTGAGTGAAATCACTGCAAAATGCTCTTCATTAGAAAGACATTTATCAAGAAAATCTTAAATCTTAAAAAAAATTCAAAGGGCAGCTGGCCCCGTCAGCGATCCTTTCCTCTTCCTTTTCTTGGGAAATGCCAGCTGGGAGTGTCTCATCTGAGCTGAACATTCACAAAACTAAGTGTCCCCTTGGGTGAAGGGAGTCAGCAGATGAAAATGCTGAGGAAGGCCAGCAGGGGGAGGCTCCTGGGCCTGGCGCCACGGCCCGGCCGCTACGTCACCCGGTGCTGGCCAGCGGCTGCGTAGACCTGTCACTGCCCTGACCGAGGGCGGCTCTTGCGAGGGCCTTGTTGCACTGCAAAGCCCGGGGCCTGACCCTGACAGGTCGGAGTCTGACTTGACAGAAAGGCAGGACGGTTACATAATATTGGAAGAAAAAGCCAAAGATCGAGGAAGGAATGTTCCACCCCAACCCTCCGGAAGTGGGTCACTCGTGGCGCACCTCCCTCTGCCAGGGCAACCTCAACATGAGGAGCATGCATTCGAGGACGCACGCACCTCACCGCACCTCCCGCTCACCTTCTGAGGCCCAGGCCCACGCCCCACAGCAAGGAAGAGGCCCCTGCTCGGCTCTGGGGTCCCCTGAAAGCCCAGACGTGGGCACACGCACAGCCGCTCGAGAGCAGGACCCCCATGAGGGGCAGATCCCTCCCGAGGCAG